TGGCAGGTCCTGCTTGGTCACGATGCTCCAGGCTTGCCTCCACTTTGCCTGGCTCCATCTCAACTGGTTGCAGGGTCCCCTCTTCACCTTGCTGGCGCTGCAACGAGGGTGCAGTGCCCCACAGGGGAGCTCTAGGTACACACGGGGGCTGGACTGCCTAGGAGTGGGAACAGGAATTACTTTCCCCACAGCCTCCACTGGGAAGCCCCTCTCCAGCCAGCATGGCTAATCTCTGCAGCTTTCCCAGGGAGCAGGTGTGGCACATTATTTTGGCCCTGCTCCCGCCATGAAACATAAGGGCAGCTGGCAGAGCAAGACACCACAGTGCCACTTACCTTCCAGCAGGGAAGTGAGCGCTGCTGTGTGGCTCTGCAAAGGAGATGAGTAGGAAGGGAATTTATTGTGCCTGGGCAAGCAGGCTTGCAACTTCGAGAGAACTATGGCCCATGGACCCACTTCATCACAGAGTTATGTTCATAGTCTTAAATTATTGCTACTGCTTTTAAACTTAACCAGGCACAATGACCCTCTCTGTCATCTGAAATTCTGAATGGCTGCCAGTGTGTGCATTGGTTACTCTTAATTATTGATATAGTATCTCATTACAGTGCACCTTAATTATTGCTCATTATAGCACATCTTAATTTGTTGCATGTATTCGGTTTCCAAGATGTACTGGTGTAAATGGTTTTAGGCTATTTTTATTGCTAAATAGAGGATATTTCAATATAAACCCAGGAACACTGGCACTGTAGAAATTAGCATAGTGCCTCAAAGACAGTTGATCTGGATTCAGTTTCCAGTCAGGGCTGATTTTCCAACTGGAAAAAAGGTGCAGATTTGCAATAGTGAGGGTAGATAACCATTGAAACAACTCACCAAATCCTGTGCTGGATTCTCCCTCTCTGGCCATTCTTAAATCAAGACTGGATTTTTTCCCTAAAAGACACAGTCTACTTCAGACAGAAATTAATTCAGGGAAGTCTAGTGGCCTGTGCTATGCAGAAGGTCAAACTATATGATAATGGTTGATCCCTTCTAGTCTCTTCATCTGGGAATATAAGTATTGCCAGACTGAGTCAAACCACAGTTCCATCCAGCCCAGGGTCTTGTTTCCAGCACTGGTGAGTTCCAGCTGTTTCAAAGGGACATGTGAAAAAACCCTAGTTAATGTTAACACTTGTCCATGGGAGAAGTTCTTGTCCTAACCCACGTCTGTTAAGGATGCAGTGTAGAAGCACCCTAACTCAAAATAAGCTACACAATTTGAGCTATGTAAATTGCACAGCTTATTTTTAGTTAATTTAGAAATAGCACCAAATTTTGAAATAAACTGCTATTCTGAAATGTCCCTTAATCCTCATGGAATGAGGTTTACAGAGATGTCAGAATAGTGACCCAGTTATATTTGGATATAACATGCTTGATTAAAAGATGCAGGATACAGTATTCCAAAATGCAAAATGCAGGACAATGTAGCACTTTAAAGACTAACAAGATGGTTTATTAGATGATGAGCTTTCGTGGGCCAGACCCACTTCCTCAGATCAAATAGTGGAAGAAAGAGGAAGTGGGTCTGGCCCATGAAAGCTCATCATCTAATAAACCATCTTGTTAGTCTTTAAAGTGCTACATTGTCCTGCATTTTGCTTCAGCTACCCCAGACTAACACGGCTACATCTCTATCAGTATTCCAAAATAGCACTGCTGTGTAGACATATCCTTAGAGACAAGCTCATGCCTCAAAGCAGGAGCTTTTATAGCCCTGTCAAACTTCTGTGTCTTTTTAATCCTTATTGCAAATTGGTATGTTCTCTTTCTCCATACAAACTCCCAATACTTCTAAACTCTGGGCTTTAATAACACCATGTGACAATACGTTATGGTGACAAATTTTGCACTGTATGGAAAAATATTTTGATCTGACCTGAATTGGTGGTCTCTTATTTTCATTAAATGTCCTCTTGTTTTTGTACTCATGGAAAGGGTTGAATTAAATAATAGTACCAAGTAACATTTGACATATTTTAGTGTACCATTATCTTCTATTATCACTATACATTGCTATTATTTATTGATGTGGCAGAAAAGCTTATGACCAGGGCCAGACAAATTTTAGCTGGTTGCCCCATTTACCGGCAGTCCACGCATGTAGAGTGTGGGTCTTGTGCATGCACGGTGCGGGGCTGGTGAGTGGCTTTTGCCGCAATCATTGAGCCTTGCTTATGACTTTTCCAAAGGGGAATCAACTTAAATGCAAAAATTTCAGGGAAGGGATACAGCATGTAACTAAAATGGCTGTGGTATTGCCTTGGCAAAATAAGGGCTCTATGTCATCCAGACCCCATGTAGGTAGGACAGGGGAATGGCTGTGAGATGGAAATAAATGGTCCAACTGGAAATATTATTTCAAAGCAAACTGATACAAATGCTAATGGATCAGTATTCAGTGGGGCTGTGTCTAGATTGGCCACTTTTTCCAGAAAAGCAGCCGCTTTTGCGGAAAAACTTGCCAGCTGTCTACACCGGCCGCTTGAATTTCCACAAAAGCACTGACGAGCTCATGTAAGATTGTCAGTGCTTTTGCTGAAATACTATGCTGCTCCCGTTTGGGCAAAAGTCTTTTTCCGAAAAACTTTTGCGCAAAAGGGCCAGTGTAGACAGCAGAGATTTATTTTCCGCAAAAAAGCCCCGATCACGAAAATGGCCATCAGGGCTTTTTTGTGGATAAGTGCGTCTAGATTGGCCACGGACGTTTTTCCGCAAAAAGTGCTTTTGCAGAAAAGCATCCTGCCAATCTAGATGCGCTTTTCCGAAAATTTTTTTAACGGAAAACTTTTCCGTTAAAAGCATTTCCGTTAAAAGCATTTCCGGAAAATCATGCCAGTGTAGACGTAGCCAGGGTGTTGGAAAACCAGAGGCCATGAAAGAAGTAAAGGGGGCATGCGATACAACTTTTTAGCTACCAATGGCTGGACACATAGCTATCTGCAGCAATGTCAAAGGTTTAATTTCCCATACAACCATGACTGCTTACATTACTTAAAAGCCTTTAGTAAGGGACCTTGTCAAAGACTTTCTGTAAGTCAAAGTACACAGTATCCACTGGGTCATGCTTGTCCACTTGTTTATTGACCACTCAAAGAATTCTAATGGAATCATGAGGCATGATTTCTCTTTATAAAAAGTAGGGCTGTCAAGCAATGAAAAAATGTAATCGCGATTAATCACGTGTGCCTCCACTTTGAAACGCCGCCAGTGTTTCAATGAGGGAGCGCCACATGGAGCCCAGGATCAGCTGGAGTCCCCAGCTGCCCCTGGGCTCCATGTAGCGCTGCCCCTTTGAAGCGCTAGGGCAGCATTTCCAAGGGGCAGCGCAAGGCATTCCACATGACATATCATCAGAACCCAGGGTCAGGTGGGGACTCCCCAGCTGATCCCGGGTTCTGGGGAAATGCTGCAGGGAGCCCGGGATCAGTTGGGCAGTCCCCAGCTGACCCTAGGCTCCACGGCAGCTGACCCTTTAAAACACCACCTTCATGCGTTTCAAAGGGGCAGTGGAGCTGCCACACAGCCAGAGATGGTATTTTAAATGGGCAACTGCCCTACAGCTGATCCACCACCTCTGGCATTTCAAAGGGGCAGCTGTCATGGAGCCCAAGGTCAGCTGGGGAATACCCAGCTGATCCTGGGCTCCCCACAGCATTTCCCCAGAACCTAGGATCAGCTGGGAAGCCCCCAACTGACCCCAGATTCCATGTGGCACTTCCCCGGAACCCAGGCTCCACATTGCACTGTCCCTTTGAAGCGCCTGAGTGGCACTTCAAAGAGCCAGTGCAGCATTAACACCTGTGATTAAAAAAAGAATGTGTTAATCCTGCACTGTGTTAATCACAGGCATTAATGCAAGCATTGCTGATTCCTCTCCAAAAATTCATGTGCATCTCCATGTGCTAATTCTGTACTTTACTATGGTTTCAACCAATTTCCCTGGTACTGAAGGTAGGCTTCCACACAGAATGCCTGGGATTGTCTCTACACTCTTTTTTAAAAAGTTGGCATCACGTTAGCCATACTCCAGTCAGTTGTTGCAAAAATTTAAAGGACAAGTTCCATACCACAGTGAGTAGTGCACTGTAATCACCCAGCCCCTTGGCTATCCCCCAAGCTCCAGTGCAATTCAGAAGCCAGGGGAAGATAGGTAGAGGCTCAATCTGGCAGGCATGCTACACAAAACAGACTGGGAAAGGGTGGAAGGAGATGGTTCCCTCCTAGCTTTGAGCCACAGGGCTTGGGCACTTACCCAGGATGGGGAAGCAGGCAGTTTAAATCAGCACCAAGTCAGTTTCTGTTACAACAGGCTCACATGCAAATTCTGTCACCCATTCCAGCTTGTGTTTAGAAGAATTTTCCCCAACCTGTAGCAGCTGGAAAGCTGTACTACTTTTCCCATTTCTAGTGCTTTTCTTTCATACCATTTGGAATAAAGATCTTTTTCTGTAGTATCATAGAACACTAGAACTGGAAGGACGTTCAAAAGTCATCAAGTCCAATCCGCTGCCCTCATGGCAGGACCAAGCACCATTTAAATCATCCCTGATGTCTGTCTAACCTGCTCTTAAATATTGCCAATGACGGAGATTCCACAATCTCCCTAAGCAATTTATTCCAGTGTTTCACCACCCTGAAAGGTAGGAAGTTTTTCTTAATGTCCAACCTAAACCTCCTTTGTTTCAATTTAAACCCATTTTCCCCCACAGTCAGCACAATTAAAAGGCTTCTCACCTATGTGGGCTCTCCAAGGTTCAAAAACCTATCAGGCTCTGATTGAACCTTTTTCCTCAGTTAGAGCAGATATAAGGTTTCTCGCCTGTGCACATTGTTTGATGTGCAGCAAAGTTTAAGTGTTTTCTTAAGCTTTTCCCACACTCAGAGCAGTCAAAGGTTTTCTCCCCGTGTGGATTGTACAGTGGTTTTTAAGATGTGAGCGCCGACTAAACCTTTTCCCACAGTCAGAGCAGCTGAAGGGTTTTTCCCCTGTGTGGATTCTCTGATGTTTAATGAGGTGTCCTTTCTGAGTGAAGCTTTTCCCGCACACAGAGCAGTTGAAGGGTTTCTCCCCTGTGTGGGTTCTTTGATGTTTGACAAGGTCTGAGTTCTGATTGAAGCTTTTCCTGCAGACAGAGCAGCTGAAGGGTTTCTCCCCTGTGTGGATTCTCTGGTGCTGAATCAGGTTCGCATTCTGACTGAAGCTTTTCCCACACACAGAGCAGTTGAAAGGTTTCTCCCCTGTGTGGGTTCTCTGATGTTTGACAAGGGCTGAGCTCTGACTGAAGCTTTTCATGCAGTCAGAGCAGCTGAAGGGTTTCTCCCCTGTGTGGATTCTCTGGTGCTGAATCAGGTTCGCATTCTGACTGAAGCTTTTCCCACACACAGAGCAGTTGAAAGGTTTCTGCCCTGTGTGGGTTCTCTTATGTTTGACAAGGTCTGCGCTCTGATGGAAGCTTTTCCTACAGTCAGAGCAGTTGAAAGGTTTCTCTCCTGTGTGGATTCTCCTATGTCTAACAAGATGTGCCCTGTCACTGAACCTTTTCCCACAGTCAGCGCAGCTGAAGGGTTTTTCTCCCGTATGGATTCTCTTATGTCCAACAAGGCGTGTGCGCTGACTAAAGCTTTTCCCACAGTCAGAGCACTTAAAAGGTTTCTCTACTCTGGGGTTTCTCTGGGGTTTAGTAACATCTGACTGGCAATGTAAGCTTTTCCCACAGTCAGAGTACTCACAGATTCTCTCAGTTGGATGCATTCCCTGATGGGAAATAAGTTTGGAGTTCTGACTGAAATTATTCCTACAGTCAAAGAAGTTGAAGGGGTTCTCAACTGTGTGGATTCTTTGCTGTAAAATGAAGAACTGTCTACACTGGAAACTTTTCCCACAGTCACTGCAAGTGCAGGGTCCCTCTTGATAGGGGATTTTCTGTTGAACAATTTCTGTGTTTCTTTTCACCTCTCTGTTCCTGTGACTAGATTTACCCTGTCCCTGTACCACACGGTTTCCCTGCTGCCTTTCTGGGATATTCTGACTCTCACAGGTCTCCCCCTGCTCAGGACTCTGGAAATCATGCCCTTCAGATCTTCCCAGTAACATCCCATGTGGAGCCACTTGCTCTGATCCTTCCTGCTGGACACTCTCATTGGTCTCACTCACCGTTCCATCACATGCTGGAATAGAGACAAAAACCAGAAAGAAGTCACTCTCTGTCCTGAGCTGAAAGGGGAACAAGATAAGGGAGAGAAAACACCTAAACAACTGCGGGGAAGGCTGAAATAGTCATAGTCCTCCCCATGCTTCATGAAAAATGGCTTATGAACATGAATGTTCATAAAGCATCTTTGAGATTGTCATAACATGTCATGTAACATATCATTTTTACATTTCCAGTCTGCTAAATGCGTGTGCTATTTTTGTGCATGTATCTTTCTTGTATATGAAGTTAGACATATGAAGCATGACTCTGGTTTTAGTCTTAAATGTGCTAATGAGGACCACTAGTGATACTTTAGGAACTTAGGGTACACTGCAGGGTAAAAATTGAATTAAGATATACAACCTCAGCTACATTAACTGCGTAGCTGAAATTGAAATAGCATAATTCAACTTTTGGCACTTTTGGTGAAGTAGGAAATCGAAGGAAGAATGAAATAAAGGTTACAGGGGTCAGAGTAATAAGTCCACCTTCTCTAAATTATTTCAAAATAACCTGCTGTGTAGACATACACTTTGTTATTTCGAAATAATGCTGCAGTGTAGATGTACCCTTAATGGCTGAGAAATCCAACCACCAACAATGGATTTATTTTTCCTGTAAGCCCAAACTGTAGTTGATCCCAGAAAGTCACATGACCATGACACCTTATACTGGAATACATCCTGAATCTAACCCTCTTCCACAGAAATGGGGAGCATGAACAAAGGGTTCCCACTCTGTAGGAAAGTCTATGTAAGGAAAGGAAAGCAATCAGGTCTTTGTATTCAGCTGGCCTTAGAAACTGCATTGCCCACTATAAGAGGATGCACATGAAGATACCTGAAAATAAAGAACGAAAAGTCCTGTAGCATCTTATAAACTAACAGATTTATGGGATCATAAGCTTTCCTGGACAAAGACCCATTTCTTCACATGCATGTCTTTGCCCACAAAAGCTTATGCTCTAATAAATCTGTTAGTCTATAAGGTGCCACAGGACTTCTTGTTCTTTATGCAGATTCAGGCTAACATGGCTACCCCTCTGATAATTGAAAATAAAGAACTCTAAAGGACTCTGAAAAGCTGCAGACCCAGACCACAATAAAGATCTATTCTGTGAGTTGAAGTATTTTACCTTAGACAAGAACTGATTAGGGTATGAATTTGCATGTAACAAGTTTCTTAGTGAATTAGAATTAGCTCGTGTATATTGTTTATTTTACAGTAGGAATTTAATTTGATCTGTTTTCACTTTCAATCACTTAAACCCTACTATTTATACATAATGAAAACACTTTTGTTTATTATCAAGCCCAGTGTAAATAATTGTTACCTTGGGGAACAACCACAATGCAGCTCTCCTTCATGGAAAAGAGGGTGCACTCATGAGCTTTCTCTGGATAAAACTTTTATACAGGCTAAGAGATTCATTTGGGGTCTCTTCTGGGGGTTAGACTATTGGGTCTGAAGCCTTATAGCTGAGCTGAATTGGTTCAGCATCTGTGTTGCTCAGCTGGGGGCGGGAGGGGCAGTAACCCCAATTTTGTGCTTTGGCTGGGGGAAACCAGAAATTCTGGCCCAGTAAGACAGAGTGGTGGGGAGCCCCCGGGGCCGGAAGGCAGGTGTTGGTGGCTTGATCAGCAGTCCAGGGGATTTCCACGATCCATTCTTCTGTACGAGGAAATATTGGCTAACCAGTGAAGTGTGTGAACCTGCTCTGCTTACTGTGAAAAGCAGCCAAGCTAACAGGCCTCAAATGGGCTTCAGCAGCAGCTGTAGCATAACCAAGTCCAGAAAAGGGGGTAGGAGTTGGGTAACACTGTGTCCTTCCTGCAGAGATCTCTGTTGCAATTGTTGAGAAGCTTGCCTATGTGCGTCAGGGTGTGTCTGTCAAGGCCTCAAGGCAGGCAAAATCTGAAAAATCCCATCTGGCTAGTTGATGGCTAGAAGGTAACCTCCTGCCTCAACTTCAGGGTTGCTCACTTAACAAGTTTTCTTGGAATGACATGTTATTGTAATACTAAGAAATAAATAGGGATGAGAAATTGGACCCTTTGGGAGGGGCTCTTCAGGGACTCCACCTCTGGATAGACCATGCAGTCTCACCAGCAGATGAAAGACTGGTCACCGGAAAACTGCCACTGGGTCACTTGAGAACTGCACCCAAATTTGAAAATTATTGAAATTTGGGGGTGTTTTACTAACCTAGTGCACATGAGTACTTCAGACTAAATGATGTGATGGTTTAAGTGAAAGCTCTTGTGTGGTCATGTTTGCATGACCAGTTATTGGTCAGACGGCCACGTCTTCCTGGATTTACTTCCTGCCACCACCTCACACAAAATAAAGTTACTGAGATTTTTGAGTTGAGGGAAGCCTGGAAAACACTCCTCTCTCTTCCCCTGCTTCCCCCCCCGGACAAGCTGAAGGGTCAGTTTTGATGAAAATGCACAAGTGACACTTGTTACAAGGACACAGAAATTAGTTTCTGATTCAGTTTAGTTGATTGCTCACCTGTATGGGTGTCGGTGATAATCTTCCCTTCCTCACAGCCCTGGAGACCTGGGACCCAGAGCTCTTCCCTTTGTTCCACCCAGGAGATCACATGAGCTTTGGAGACTGGAAATCCTGCATGGGGAGCAATTAACCAAGCGCTGATCTTGTTCATTAAGATCTGGGCCATTACTGCTTCCAGAGTCAGGATATGAGTTACCCACCCAGGCTGTGTCCAGACTCAGGGGTTTTTTTGGGAAAAGTAGCCTTTTCCCGAAAAAACTTCCCCTGCGTCCAGACTCAAGCCGCGTTCTTTCGAAATTAATTCGAAAGAACGCGGCTTTTCCTTCGATGGCGGTAAACCTCAATTTACGAGGAAGAACGCCTTCTTTCGAAAGTTCCTCTTTCGAAAGAAGGCGTTCTTCAATGTAAATAGGGCCTCTTCGAAAGAGAGCATCCAGACTCACTGGATGCTTTCTTTCGAAAAAGCAAGCCGCTTTTTCGAAATTTCTCCGTGCAGTCTAGACGCTCTCTTTCGAAAGAGGCTTGCAGTCTAGACATAGCCCCAGAGAGGCTCCTTCCCCACCTTGCAGAGACTGGGCTCTGGCTGGTACAAGATCCCAGGACACACTCATCTGCAGTAATGGTACATCCCCCCTGACTCCGAAATGACCCAGCTTATTCCCAGGGGGAGTTGAGCACTCTGCTGCACTCTCTAGGGTACAGCTAAGTTTCCCTCATAGTCCGATCCAGCCTCCATCCCAGGAAAGGACAGGAACACACTGCTAAGAAGGGAAGCTCCAGTGAGGGCTGACAGGTCTGACAACAAGGACCACATGCAGGGCTCAGGCTGCAACTGCCACATAGCAGGTGACTGGGACTTGGAGAGAAAGGACCCAGCAAAGCTCTAGCTCCTCAAGGCCTCGGTCCACCAAGCTCCTGGCTGGGGGGCTCAGCTCGTCCTGCTCTTTGGCTGGGATGCTCAACTTGAACTATGGGGGAAAGGAAGTTGTCTGAGCAGCTAGGGCAGTGGTCCCCAACGTGGTGCCCATGAGCGCCATGGCGCCCGCCGGAGCATTTATGTGCGCCCGCCGAGTGACCGGGGCTGGCTCAAACCATTCTTGCGCCCCAGCCCTGGGTGCACGGCGCATGCGCAGCCCCTGCCCCGGGCGCCCGGCAGCCCCAAAAGGTTGGGGACCACTGAGCTAGGGGATTCTTTGGTGGCTGTTTCACACCCCGCCTACGTTCCTGACAGCCCTTTTCACCTGCCTCATGATTCTGCCCCTTTTCTATATGGTTTGCTGAGACAAAATCCCATTGCAGGCACATCACATTTCCCTGGCACAACCAAACACTGACCTTGCTTTAATTTATGATAAGAGGAAGCTGCATATTCGAATTTAGTAGTCCCAGCTTGTAGAATTTAAGAGGAGTTCTTGAACAGACAGACAGACAGACAGACAGACAGAAAAACTCTCGCAAATATACAGTAGATGAAAGATCTCTGTGCATCATCTAGCTTCTGTCTCTTAATTCACTTTACTTTATTAAAGTGGTTATGTTCTTTAGTGAGAGACAACCTGCTGGTAATATCCAGGTAATCCCTGGAAGGTGAGCCATCACCTTTTACACACATGGGCCAGCTACCCTGATAATCAGTTCATAGTTATAGACAAGCAAATACTGAAGAATCTTGGGTCCAAATGTTTAGGTTAACATAAGTGATTTGACCAAGGTCACGCAGGAAAGCCGTGTCAGGGCAGGGAATTCAACAAGGTCTCCCAAATGCAGTGCCTGCAATGCAAGTAGAGCTCTTCTTATATTTATCTACTACAGAGCTGCCCCTCCCAGACAACTCACAGAGTGAGAACTGCTTCTTTCACCTTCCCTCAGCCCCAATACACAGCTTCTCTCACTGCCTGGAACCAGCATGTAACAGATCAGCCACAGTCAGGAAAGGACTCTGGAAATTGCTCTCTCCTTCCAGGAGCCCAGCACACTGGCACAAAGGGGACTCTGCAGGCACTAATAGTAGCCGCTCCCAGCTCCACAACTCTGGAACCTGCTGTTCCTACCTTGGCCCTTACACTGACACCTCTGGCCAAGGCACAACATGGACAAGATGGTGGGGAAGCACATTGAGACATCGGCTGTGGGAAAAGCAGCACCATTGTTATGTCTCTGAATTGGCTTCCCTTGGGATGGAGCATGGAGGGGACAGTCTCTTACACAGGAGGCAGAATTATTGGGGCTGATACTCCTGACCTTGGAGGAGGCAGGGGGCAATGAGGAACCCTGAACCAAACCCAATACAACTGCTTCAGAACCCACCCAGTCTCTAATACCCAAGGAGACAGGAATCCTTACCCAGCCAGCTCACATCCTCATAATTCTCCTGCATCACATCCCAGTAGAGGGCTCTCTGGCCCGGGTCCAGCAGAGCCCATTCCTCCTCAGAGAAATACACAGCCACCTCCTCGAAGGACACTGGCTCCATCACAGCCATTTCCTTTCCCTGGCTCTGCAAGCCATGGGCTGAGCTGGAGCTAGACATGGGTGTTCTGCAGCCTGTCAGGGGGAGAAGGGTGATTGGAGACATGTCAGAAGGGGTTTTAATCCTTTCCACACCCCCACTCTGCCCAGACTCTGTCCCTGTTCACACACAATAGACTCCGCCATTTTGGGCAAATGCTGAGTCCAGATATTCCATAAAAAGCACACAGTAGTGCTTTTTATGGGGAAAAAACACCCAAATCCATATTACTTCTTAATACCTGGCTTGAGTTACAACATTACTGCACATGTAACAATGGGATTCAGTTCTGAGCACCCAATATTTCTGATAAACAAGTCACATATTCACCAGCCTGAACATGGATATAGGTATCTAAATTTAGACTGCTGTACTTAAAACCCGTTCTTCATCATTTGCAGCACAGACCTTGGGTCTCTCATCTGACAGACTTTATAATTCCTCTCCACAATAGAGATTAAGTGAAGTGAATACAACTATTCAGATGCTTATTATTAATCACGTGTGCTGAATGTTTGCAGGATGAGATCCTAAAATTCATGGATTCATGGGATCAGAAGATATCCTTCGTCATGTAGTCTTAGCTCCTCTGTGGCACAAGCTATTCAACTTAACCCAATTACCCAGGCACAACACTATTCCCCCAAAGCATGTTTTCTAGAAAGTTGCCCAGTGTTGCTTTGAAGACATCAAGAGATGGAGAATCCACCAGTTCTTTGTTCAGTTGTTTCAGCGGCT